ACAAATCATCAAACAACAAGTGTTGGTGAGGGTCTGGAGAAAAGGGGACTCTAGTACCCTGCTAGTGGGAATGCAGACTGGTGCAGCCGCTGTGGAAAACACTATGGTGTTACCTCAAAAAGTTAAAAATTGAACTGCCATTTGACCTAGTGATCTCACTTTCAGGACTATACTCTAAGAAACCTGAAACACCAATCAGAAAGAAAATATGTACCCTTATGTTCATAGCAGCACTATTTACAATAGCTACTATCTGAAAACAACCCAGGTTTCTATCAGTAGATGAGAGGATAAAAAGCTGAGGTACAGGTACACAATGGAATACTATGCAGCTATAAGAAAAAAAGATCTCCTATCCTTTGAGATGGCATGGAAGAACCTGGAGAGTATTATGCTAAGCAAAACAAGCCAAGCAGAGAAAGACAAATATCACATGATCTCACTTATTTGTGGAATATAATGAACTAAACAAACTGATAAACAAAATTGACCCAGAGACATAGAGGTGGAGTACAGACTGAGAAACCTTAGAGGAGGAGGGCTGTGGGAGGAAGAGATAAACCACAGAACTTTTATGCATGCATGCATGACCAATGGACGTAGACAACAAAGCTGGGGACGGGGAGTAGAGTGTCAATGAGGGAAAAACGAGAAACGTGTAACAAAAACAAATTAATAAAATAAATAAATAACTCTTTATGTTTTCAAAAAGTTTAAATATATATATAATTCACTCTGCCAGCTTAGGAAATATTTTTCAACACAGCAAAAACAATGTTTGTCGCCCTGGCCGGTTTGGTTCAGCTGTTAGAGCATCTGCCTGCGGTCCAGAGAGACCCGGGTTCGGTTTCCGCTAAGGACGCGTACCTCGGTTGCAGTTCGTCCGTGGCCCTGATTGGTCATGCGGGTGGCAGCCACTCTATGTGTTCCTTTCACATCGATGTTTCTCTCCCTCTCTCTGTTCCTCTCTTTCCCTCCCACTTTATCTGAACAAAAAATGAAAAAATGTCCTCGGGTGAGGATAAAAAAAAAAAAAATTTGTTTAAAGCAATGTTTGTCATAGGAGGAGGCATAGAATTAAAACCATGAAGAAAAATTCTGATTTCAAGATAAGTCTTTCAATAATGAATTTTTGTTTTATCTTAAAATTTTGACATACCCCATACATAATACACAAATACAAAAGTATAAAAAAAAAATCCTCTGAGGTTATACAGAATTATTTTTCTTTTTAATGTACCATTTGGGTTCATCTATATTACTAATTTTGCCATGATGAAAATCAAAAGGTGGTCATAATTTCAAATTTTAAAACAAAGTATGAATAGAATGTTCTAAAAAAGATTTATGATTAAATATATCCTTGAGATAAGACTCAAGGAATAAAAGTATCTTCAGTTCTAGGTATAATTATGTTACACACACACACACACAAAACTTCACATAGTTCTGCTCCTATCAAATCACTCTCTTGAACAATTTTTTATATAGAAAAAACAAAAGACTTCACCAAGAGCCATTTAGAACTAAAAAATGTATTCAGTACAGATTCAGGATGCAAAATCAACACATAGAAACCAGTTGCATTTCTATACACAAACAACAAACCATCTGAAAAAGAAATTAAGAAAATAATCCTATTTACAATAGAATAAAAATCAATGACATAATTAATAATAAATTTAACCCAAGAATGTGAAAGACCTGACACGTAAACAATAAGACATTGAAGATACAAATAAATGGAAAGATAGCCTGAGTTATTGGACTTAAAAAATTAATGCTGTTAAAATGTTCATACTACCCAAACAATATAGATTTAATGTAATCCTTACCAAAATTCCAAAGGCATTTTTCACAGATACAAAAAAATACATTCTAAAATTTGTATAAAACCACAAAAGATGCCAATAGCCAAAGCAATTCTGAGAAAGAAGAATGAAGCCAGCGCCACCACACTTCCTAATTTCAAGCTATGTTACAAAGCTATAGTAATTAAAACAGTATGATACTGGCATTAAAAAAACAAACAAACAAACAAAAAAACTGGCATGTAGATCAGTAGAACAGAACAGAGACCAGATATAAAACTATGCAAGTATGGTCAACTAATTTTTTTTAATCTTCACCCAAAGATACTTTTCTCCATTTATCTTCAGATAGAGTGGGAATGAGAGAGAGAGAGAGAGAGAAACATTAATATGAGAGAGACACATAGACTGGTTGCCTCCCACATGACCCCAACCTGGGCAGGGGACCAAACTGCAACCAAGGTATGTGCCCTTGACCTGAATTGAACCTGCAACTCTTTGGTCGGCGGGCTGATGCTCTATCACTGAGCCAAACCGGCCAGGGCTGGTCAACTACTTTTTGACAAGGGCACCAAGAATACATAATAGGGAAAGGATAATCTCTTAAATAAATGGCGTTGGGAAAACTGAATATCCACATGCAAAGGAATGAAATTGGACCACTATTTTACACCACTCACAAAAATTAACTTGAAATGGACCAAAGATTTAATGTAAGACCTGAAACCACAAAACTCATAGAAGAAAACATTGGGAAAAGAATCTCTAATAATGGTCTTGGCAATAATTTCTTGGCTAGCACACCAAAAGCAGAAGCACCAAAGCTAAAGAGAGTTTGTACAGCAAAGGACACAATAAACTGAAAAGGCAACCTACAAAATGAGAGAAAATATTTGCAAACTATATATCTGATAAGGAATTAATATCCAAAATATATAAGAAATTCACATAACACGATAGAAAAAAACAACCCAGTTTAAAAATAGGCAAAGAACTTGAAAAAATATTTTTCCAAAGAAGACATACAAATGGCCAACATGTACATGAAAAGGTGTTCAACATCATTAATTATCAGGGAAATGCAAATTAAAACCACAATGAGATATTATCTCACACTTGTTAGGATGTCTATTATCAAAAAGACAAAAGATAAAAAAAAATTCTGGTGAGGATGTGGAGAAAAGGGAACTTTTATATGCTCTTGGTGAGAATGTATTTGGTGCAGTCATTATGAAAAACAGAATGGTGGTTACACAAAAAATTAAAACTTGAGCTATAGTATGATCCAGCGGTTCCACTTCTGGGTAGATAGCCAAAGGAAATGCAATCCATATCTTGAAGAGATATCTGCACACCCATGTTTATTGAAGCATTATTCACAATAGCCAATAAATGGAAACAACTTAAATGTCTTTTGATGGATGAATGAATAAAGAAATGTGATATATGTTTATATGACATTTATAAATATATATTACATATAAGCTCATTATACATATATAAATTATAGAGTACTGTTCAGCCATAAAACAGGAGGAAACTATACCATTTGCAACAACAGGGATGAACCTGGAGGGCATAATGCTAAGTGAAATAAATCAGACAGAAAACAACATATATTGTATGGTAGCACATATATAGAGTCTCAAAAAATGCCAATTTCATAAAAAAATAATAGAATGGTGGTTGATAGATGCTGGAGGGAAGGAGAAATGGGATAACATGGGTGAAAGAATGAAAATTTTCAGTTATACAAAAAAAAGTTCAGAGGATCTAACGTAGAGTATGGTGACTAATAATATGATATTTTACACTTGAAATTTGCTGAGTATTTAAGTATTCTCACCACACACAAAAGAGTTAACTATGTGATGTGGATTGTTAGTTATTTTGATCTTGGTAATAATTCTACAATGTATATGTATATCAACTCATCACATTGTAATATATATAATGATTAAACAGGGTGTCTCAAAAAATGTGTACATATTTTAACAGCTTATAACTCACTTAATTCTCACTCCTTTTCAGGTTTAACTGACTTGAAATAATGGGTGAAGCTAGACTAAGTTTTGAACAAAGAAAATATGTCACTAGATATTTTTATGGGGAAACATAAAAGATAAAGTTTATGGTACAAAACTGGCAACAGTTGATGAATTGAGGGCAGCTATTGAAAGAGAGGGTGCACAAATACCGAACAAAATGATTCTTAAGGCTTGCTGTTCCATTGCTTTGAGTTATCAGCAGTGCCTGGACCAGAACGGTCAGCAGTCTGAAAACAGGCATTGACAAATTAAATTATTCACTTGCATAGATTCTTTTAAATTTTGAAAATAAACTGTATGTTAATAAACACTGACTTTATAATCATTTAAAGTGTATACACATTTTTGGGGACATCCTATATTTGCCAATTATTCCCAAGTATTCCTCAATAAAGTTTTTAAAAAGATAAAAGAGATAATCTTATAAAAATTTAAAAAGAGGGATAAAGAGCCCTGGTCTGGTGGCTCAGTTGGTTGGAAGGTTGTCCTGTTCACCAAAAGGTCACAGGTTTGATTTTCTGGTCAGGGCACATGCCCAGGTTGTGGGTTCTTTCACTGGTCAGGGTAGGTATGGGAGGCAACTGATTGATGTTTCTCTTACATTGATGTTTCTCTTACATTGATGTTTCTCTCTCTCTCTCTCTCTCTCTCTCCCTCCCTCCCTCCCTCCCTCTCCCTCTCTCTCTCTCTCTTCCTCTACATTCCTTTCCCTCTGAAATCAATTAAAAAAAATTTTTTTTAAAGAGAAAGAAAAAAATCCACCCTACATGGGTCCAAGTTTCAGCAATAACTGTAACATTGTCCGTTCCAACCCCAGTAAGGAGCTGCTGTGAACTGTAGCATGGGAGAAAAGGAAAGGAAGCATTTCCCAAATGGTTTGCCTGACAAAATCTCTTCTGCTCAGAGAAGAGGGACTAACGTGATCCAACCTTATTGCAATTATATTTTATGTACTTCAGCACAGGAAAAAACATAGTAGGTAAGTCATAAAGAGTTTTCCTTTGTCTTCCATCAAAATATAATCTCTTAAAGGTACTAAACAATACCTTTCAGGGAGTTTTAAAAGAAGAAACTTTAGTCCAGGGCAATATCACCTCCACCACTGCACGGTCTGCTACTTTCAGACTAATCCACACCATACCTGAGTAGTGTTGAAAAGGCAGAATATGTAGCTGAAGATGATCCTGATTTTATCATTATCAATTAGCATAAAGTAGCCCAGAAGCCAGGTAATTCCAAAAACAGCTGCAATAGATAACGAGCTAAAAACCTTCTTTAGCGATGAAATCTTTTTTGTGCTAGGTAAGAGAAAGCAAGAAAGAAAACATGGTTCATTCAGTTCTTTTTTAAAATTTTTATTAATATCATTCTTACCCTACTATTGAGACTATATATTCATCTGCCCATATATAGTGTTCATTTAACAATATTATGCCTCTGGTGGAAAATGATGCTAGACCTATGCCATGCTGGATAGAGTTGGGTTTAGAAAGCTTTATTAACAAGCTTTATTTGTATCAGGCTTAACAGTTCCTTTGTATTTACAGGCAAATTTCACAAAGAATCAATTCTTTCTTTGGAAGAGAATTTTATGTTAGTGATGATTACTATTGGATCGGCCAGTGAAAAACTGTTTTTTTAGGCATCTGGAAACTTCCCATGATGTAGGCTGATATGGAATAAAAGGTTATTAAAGTGTAGAGTGGTCTTCTTTCCTTGAATAGTGAGACAGTTGCTAATATCTCATTTTGACTGGTGAGATATCAGCAACTGTTCCAGGCTTAAAAGCATTTTTTTTCATCAGAATTTGCAGCCTTCTTATAGCTCTTTGGAACCCTGAACCCACTATGTTAAGAAGTCTGGACTGGTTTAATGCAGGATGAAAGACCACATGGAGGAGAGATAAGTTTTCCCCACTGAGCAGCTGCCACTCAAGACCAACCCACCACTAACTACCAGGCATAAAAGTGAGTCACCCTAAATTATCCACCACATTCAAGCTAGCCCAAATCGGGACAACTACCCAACCAACACTCAAACTTATGACAAATAATAAACAGTTGTCATTCCAAGCCATTAAGTTTTGGGGTGGTTTGTTATGCAGCAAAAGCTAACTGATACATGAAAGATAAGTTGTTAAACAATTAAGTTGTAACCTGCTTTTCATTGTAGCTAAGCCAATTTAAGAACCATATACTATCAGTCAAGATTTAGAAATACAAATGTGGTTGATGTCTGAGGCCAAAACAATATTGTTTTGTATGAGGGAAATATAACCTAATTTGCAATTAGGCTGAAAAGAATTCACCAAGATTTTTCTGTATTTTTAATAAAACATAGGTTTGAATGATAAAACATAGGTTTGAAATATTAACCCCCATATTTCCCCTCAAATGGACTATCATTTATATAGGAAGGGTGATACTATTCTTGATAGGTTAATCACATATTTAAGATTATAGTCCCACTCATGATAGTTGTTTTTTCATCATCTGTTTATATGAAATGCATCCGTTTGGTGTCCAGCAAAGCTCACAGATATACTTACATTTAAGTTTACTTGGGCTAAGTAGAGTCTTATAGAAATAAACCTAAATTCATAGCCACATTGTTTAACCAATTTGTACTGTGGAAGATGGGGGGGGGGGGGGCAGTATTTAATAGTTTCTGTTCTTTCTTTCTCCCTCTGAAAGCTTTTTCTGTTTTTCAGGGATGACAATGAAAATGCCTATTGGGATCAAAAAGGTTATATAAAAGAGAGAAGCAGTCCACACGGGAACTGATAAACCAGAGAGCACATGCCCCATCTGCAGAAAATGTGGGCTTAATGTTTCCAGATGTTCCTTTTTAAAAAAAAATTTTTAAGTAAAACCTTTCTATTATTTTATGTTCATAAGAAATTTAAAAATATAAATTCATTATGTGATTCAAGCAACACATGTAAAACATAGCCTATAGCTACTAATTTACAAAGTGAAAACAGTTACCAGTATCTATTAATAACTTCTCATTTCTTTATTCAAATCTAATCTATTGAATATTTGAAAGAAAACTTGGGTTGAGTTTTTTTAGTTGGGCTCATATAGCACAAAATTGTGTTGTGTAATGTAGCAGATAGATCTACACTGTAGTGCTGACATTGGAATATGAGAAGGTCCTCTTTCTGAGACAAAGTTTAAAAGAAAATCTGTCCTGCAAACTACATGTCCCTGCCATTGTCCCAGAGTCTGAAAACTCTTCCAGGAAGTGTGGATGTATGTTGGTGCTAGATCATGGGTTCGATGAGTCATACCTGGCAGCTTCTCAGTTACTGAGAATCTTACCTAGTCAGATTCTGGTCATTCTTCCACAGCACTCTGACTGTAATGATAATAAATATAACAACATTGCTGATGAGGATAACGGTCACAGGTAAAATGAATGACCACAACAACGGACTTTTTATAAAATCTTTGTTTTCCGGAATTGCCAGCCAGCAGCTGTGGAGAGAAAAGAAGACTAAGAAAGGTGTACATACTGATTCTACATGCTATTATCATCATTGACATTCACTTGACTAAAAGAGAATATCCTTTTGCATCCTATGTATTCGAGATGACTTTCAAGAATTCAATCTTCTAGATAAATGAAATGTTTTGGTTTCGCCATATTTCTCTATGAGACAGTACGGGCTAGTGGAAAGAAAATGGGCTTTTGAATAAGGCAATCTCATATTTAAATGTCACTCTCTGTCACCAACTAGGTGTCTGATTTTAGGCAAGTTATTGTTTTATTTTATTCTTTTTGTTGTTGTTGTTTGTTTTGTTTTGTTTTGTTGTTCAGGTAGAGTGGGAGGGAGAGAGAGGAACAGAGAGAGATAGAGAAATATCGATGTGAAAGGAACACATCGAGTGGCTGCCACCCGCACGACCGACCAGGGCCGGGGACAAACTGCAACCGAAGTACGTGCCCTTAGCGGGAACCGAACCCGGGTCTCTCAGGACTGCAGGTCGACGCTCTAACCACTGAGCCAAACCGGCCAGGGCTTTATTTTATTCTTGATTATATAGTACATCTAGATGGCTCAAAATTTAAATGGTGCAAATATTTATAGAGAGACAAGATGCCTTCCTACAATTATCCATGATCACCTGGTTTCCATCTCCAGTAGTAATCAATTCTTGTGTATTCTTCCAGATGTAGACTATGCATACAACAACAAATTTATATATATTTTTCCTGATGTTTAAACAAATAACATGATATGCCCACGCTTTACTTAACAACATATCTTGGATAGCATTCTATATCAGAATATAAAGACTGTCCTCATTATTTTTTAGAGCTATATATTATTCCATTATTTTGTTATATCATAAGTTATTTAAACAGTCTCTTATAAATTGGCATTTTTAAGGTTTAATGTTTAAAAATATTTGAGTGGTCATTTAACCTCATTGTATTAGTCTTTGTTTTTGTTTTGTTTTGTTGTTGCTATCTATGGTGGTAGTTTGGTGGTGTTTCCTTCTCATCTGTGAGGTGTAGCAATCATTTCCTGGCACTGTTGTAAAAATTAATTCATTCATCTAATCAGTATTTACAGAGTATGCTATGTGCCAAACACCGTGATAGACATCAAGATATTAGCAGTAGACAAAAATCCCAAATCCCTTCTTTAGTGAATTTATTCTAGCACAAAGAAGTCAGTAAAACTAACAAATAAATATAATATACACTGTGTCAGATGCTGACAAGTGTTGTGAAGAAAAATAAAGCAGGTAATGAGGGTAGGTATTACTGTGTGTATGCGGGGGTGGTCATTTTAATACAGTGGTCATGAAAAACCTTGTGGGGGGAGGAGTGATATTTTAACGAAGATCTGAAGTAGACAAAGGGGAAGGGAATTATAGGCAGAGGAAACAGCAAATGCAAAGACCTTGAGTTGAGAGCTTGTGAAACAGCAAAGAGGCTAGAGTGACTAGAACAGAGTAAGTAGATGGGATTAGGAAAAGATGTAAATTATGTCAGGGTTTTATAGGTGTGCACTCTTTGAAAGAAAGTGAAACTTGATGTAATGTGTTGGATTTTAAAAGTATTACTCTAGCTAGATGTAAAGATAAGAGAAAGACACATGCAAAAGTAGGAAATCCGCTAGGAGTTTATTGCAAAAATCTGGTGGCTTGGACCAGGAGAATAGGTGTTGAGAAATAGTCTGGTTCCAATTAATTTGAAATAATATGTGCAGCTCTATATTCACTGCAGTGTTATTTACAATAGCCAAGAATTGGAAGCAGCCCAAGTGCCTATCAGTAGACGAGTGAATAAAAAGCTGTGGTACATTTACACAATGGAATTCTACTCAGCCATAAAAAAGAAGAAAATCTTACCCTTTAAGATAGCCTGGATGAATCTGGAGAGCATTATGCTTAGTGACATAAACCAGTCAGAGAAAGATAATACCATATGACTTCACTTATATGTGGAATCTAGTGAATAAAATAAACTAGCAAACAAAAATAGAAACAGACTCATAGATAGAAAACAGAGCAAAAGCTGTCAGAGAGGACTGGGGTTGTGGAGCTGGGTGAAAAAGGTGAAGGGATTAAGCAAAATAAACCTTATAGACTCAGATAACAGCATGGGGGGAAGAAGGTGGGGGAGGTAGAAGAGGATATAGAGTGGATAAATGGTGATGGAAAGGGACTTGACTTGGGGTGGTGAACACAAAATGCAATATACAGAGGATGTATTATAGAACTGTATATCTGAAACCTACATAATTTTATTAACCAATGTCACCTCAATACATTCAATTAAAAAAGAAAAAAAAAGAGAAATAGTTTGGTTCCAGATATATTTATAAGTAAAGCAACATGATTTATCTTATTGATAGATTGGTTATGAAATGCAGAATTAAGGATGACTCCAAAGTCTTTGGCCTGAGTACCTGGAAGAATGGAATTATCATTAACTGAAATAGGGAAGATGATGAGAAGAGCAGGTTTGGGAGGGAAGACCAGAAGATGTCTTATTAGACATCAAGTGGAGGTGTCAAGTAGTCATTAGGGTATTAATGTGAGAAGCCGTGGCACATATTTGGCATTCAATTAATATATGTTTTCTTTTCCTGTAGATAAAAGACCATTATTATACATGTTAAAGGGTTTCTAAATTGTTTTGCTTTGGACTGTTGTTATAATAATTAATCATTACAAATTATATTTCTAATCTGAATAATCTACAAGAAAACTGGAATGATGTTCAAGTCTCTGTAATGAATTCAAAATTGAAAAGAAGTGCCTCCAACTCATGAATGCACAGAATGGTCTATCCTTAAATAAAATGACGAGAGTGAGAAGGTTTATCTTTAGGACTCCTGGCTTCCCTCTGTAACTGGAGAAAAACTCTCCTGTCATCCTCCATCTCACAAATCCTTACACAGAAGAAATGAGGGCACTTGGCTAAGAATTACTGAAACCCTGATGGGAAGTCCTTTCAAATCTCTAGAAGCTTCTTTGCTGACTGAGCAAGTGACCATCAAAAGTTTGAAATTAAATCGACGAACACATTTCTCATCCAGGAAGCCTAAAGAAACACAGTTTAAAGGGGAGGAAAAAATCAAGAAAGAAAATGTACAATCCAGCTCTATTGGATAAAGGAGACTTGCAGATTATGAAACAAATAGACAAGTATTTATCCTACCTGTATGAGTCTTGAGTCGTTTAAACTTTAGACAATAAATTTCTAAAAAGTACTACTTGTACTATAGACATATGTGTGTGTGTACAAATGTTTGTAAGAGTCCTAAGTTACCTCACACCGATGTGGAGACCTGTAAAGGAAATAGGCTTGGATACCCGTTGTCATTAGGAAGTGCACACCAGGAAGGGACTCCTCCTTACCCTTCTGTCCTTTGTATTACTTGGAGAGATAATCATGCTAAATTTGTTCTCATGATGGCCTCTCCCTTTGTTATCCTTAATTAAACTCAGATTGTTATAAACAGACTGCTGAGGAGACAGATGGATCCTACAGTGAGACTAACCTTGGAGGTAGGGAGCAAGATTACAGAGTGGAGACTGGAGAGTCACACAGTCGAGGATGAACTGCCAGCCATGGACCTGAGGTCTGGAGAGCATAAATCAACCTCAGATGAAGTGTTTAACTGCTTGGTGATTTTGCCATGGAGCACACCATGAAGACAGCTTTCGTATATACAGCATACAGTTAAATAATTTCCTCCTTCATACATTATGATTTCTCATGATTACCTTAACCCTTCAGGAAAGTCTGAAAACAGCCTATATGATAGTGGCACAGAGAATTGGGGGATAGTGCATTAACGAGCAATGTGGCCTGCCCTGCACTTATCCCTTAATTGGGTCCTTCTTGCAAAGAGAGCAGTACATCAGAGGAACTGGGTTAGGGGTTTCAGGTATCACCGGCAGTGTAGGGACTAGTAGGGGAGAGCATAGGATATTAAGGCTCAATTTCTGGGAGGAAAACTAAACAGTCCCTCCTCTTTCTAAATAAATCCTGAAGAAATGTGTCCCTTGATGACTGTGCATATGTCCCTTAATGCCATGGGAGAGAAGATGAGGCAAATGTTATGCATCCTGTCTTCTCTTCCCAAGTTCTCTTATTATCAGTCGCCTAGTGTCTTCCCTAACATCCAATACTACTCGGGAAAGAATCAGGAAAGAATCTGCTCTCAATTATTTATAACTCAGGGTGAATAAATTTAAGACAGTAGTTTTCTTTCTCCTTAAGGCTTTTATAGGTGTAGGTCTAGCCCTGTGCCTGGCTTAGGGTAGGAAATTAAAAATGCAATTTGAAATGAGTTACCGCTCCCATGAGAAATTTGCTTCTTATCTCAATCTCTAATTGTGGAACTCAAAATTTAAAACTCATTAAAAAATAATTAACCCTAATTAAACAGATAAAATAGTACCTGAAGCATTTGGCTCCTAAAACCATATCAAGCAGGTAGCCTCCTATTCTACAGCTGGGCATGGTTAGCCCAGGAAGTAGGTAAGCACCCTAACACCATAGCCTTTCCTTGGGTGTATTGAACATTTCCAAAAGTTTTATTTTGATTTGAGTTAGTCTGGGTCTTAAGGAGAAATCTGGGGATAAGCATGATGGAATATAAAATAAGAAGAGAGGCTCAATTAAAGAGCAGTTGTTCCATAGCAGAAATACAGGAAAAAGTTCAGCTCAGCCTTCTCTTCTTCCCCACATAAAAAGCAAACACCATATAGTCAGGTACTTCCATTATTAACAGTTAGTTAGTTATTCATGCTGGAATCATAGGGAGAATTTGTTATGTGCAAAACTCATCATGAGCCCAGCTGGTGTGACTCAGTTGTTGAGCATCGACCCATGAACCAAGAGGTCACCGGTTTGATTCCCAGTAAGGGCACATCCCCAGGTTGTGGGCCAGATCCCCAGTGGGAGGCATGCAGGAGTCAGCCAATCGATGTTCTCTCTCACTGAAGTCTCTATCTCTCTTCCCCTCCCTCTAAAATCAATAAAGAAAAAAAGATTTTTAAAAAAATACCATCATGAAATATTCATAATAATCATATAAACATAAAATTGGCTCATACGCATGGATAGTTTTCTTCAATTTATGAAATGTTTTCATATTTGTTTGATCACTCACAGTAACCCCTGAGCAGGTATTACTATTATTGTTGTTCCTATTGTCTGAGATTAGACATTACTAAGGATCACACCTATTTTGCCCTAAAGTTTTTCAGACTTAATAAACAATTCAATGTAACATAAGAAAGTTCAAATTTATAAATTTAGAAGGTAAACTTTGTTTACCAAAAGGATTTATCATAGGAAATTTTTACATCACCATATTAAAAATATCACGTGTTCTTTGAGAATTTGAAATGCCCACTTAGAATGTGACAATTATAAAGTGAGATGTATATGTACTTGTACTCAACATCACTGAATAGTTACACTCCTATATCAAAGAAATGGACATGTTAAAACACGTAAACTCACATTTCTTCTTGCCGGTAGTTTAACTCCCATTGTGAAGGATTCTGAGAAAAGATAATTCCCACTGTCATAGTCACCACAACAGCCGGGACTCCTAGGTGATAAAGAAAGGCACAGAATTAATAATTTATAATTTATTAATTATAAAAGACCATGAATGAATTATACATTTGACCCTATTCAGGATGTATTGTTCTTTCTACTATAGACATTGACTACATGATCCTATAGATGTAGGTCAACAGTTTTCAAATTATTTCTCTGAAAAAGTTACTCTAATTTTCTTTATTAAGACATTTTTTTAAAGTAGCTAGAAAGCTATTTTATGGTCTAAATCTCAAATCAAATTAATTGAAGGAAATGAACACCTTGAAGTTAGCTTATGACATACTTAGTAGAGCTGCCTGGATCCATCTACCTCCACGGGAGTGTGAACTGTGAGGTGGAAGGCACTTTTACTGAATTCTGAATCTTCCGTCTCCCCTACCTCAAGGCCTGGTATGGTTAGGCCATCAATAAGCATTTGTTTAAATTAAATTATTTCCATCAGAGAAATGCAATTGAAAACCACATGAGATATTACCTCACACCTGTCAGAATGACTATCATCAATAAGTCAACAACCAGTGTTGGCGAGGACCTGGAGAAAAGGGAACCTTCATGCACTGTTGGTGGAAATATAGATTGGTACAATCACTGTGAAAAGCAGTATGGAGTTACCTCAAAAAATTAAAAATGGAACTGCCTTATGACCTAGCAATTCCACTTCTGGGAATATATCTGAAGAAACCTGAAACACTAATTTGAAGAAATATATGCACCCCTATGTTCATTGCAGCATTGTTTACAATAGCCAAGGTATGGAAGCAGCCCAGGTGCTCATCAGTAGATGAGTGGATAAAAAAGCAGTGGTACATCAACACAATAGAATACTACTTGGCTGTAAAAAAGAAGGAAATCTTACCCTTTGCAACATCATGGATGGACCTGGAGAGCATTATGTTAAGTGAAATAAACCAATAGAGAAAGATAAGTACCATATGATTTCACTCATATGTGAAATGTAACAAACAAAACTAACAAACAAACTAGAAATAGACTCATTGATGGAGAACAAGCTGACAGCTGTCAGAGGGAAGAGGGGTTTCAAGCCCGGGTGAAAAAGGTGAAGGATTTAAGGGAAAACAACAACAAACAACTCATAGACAACAGTATGGTGATTACCAGAGGGGAAGGAAGGTAGAAGGGGATAGAAAGGGATATAGGGGTGATGAATAGTGATAGAAGAAGACTTGACTTTGGGTGGTAAACACACAATACAATATACAGATGATGTATTATAGAATTGTACACCTGAAACCTGTGTAACCAATGTCACCCCAATATATTTTTTAAACAAAAGAGTGGTTGCAAATGAATAAATAATAAATTAAACAATTTCAACAAAATTAAATTCCAGAGTAAATAGAGAAGCAAACACTTACCCCATCCAATCAGAAGGATGTAAAGAATGAAACGTTGAGGAAGAGGCTTCATGGTCCTAATTAGAAGGAAGTAGAGCTGTGCAGCACTGAGTCCAGTCCAGGTAAAGGTCACTAACAGAAAATAATGCAGCAAGGCAGCAATAACCGTGCACCTGAGATTTGAAACCTTTAAAATGCCACGCGTGGGAATTGTATTTTCTTTAGAATTAGTATCATTAGTATCACTTGTCTTTGACTTCCCATTGGAGTTTTCAATTCCAAACACAAAGAGGAGGTTGAAAATCAACATTGATGTGCACAGACTGACCAACACCCAGGTTACTGAGGTTTTTCTGACTTTCCTGAAAATAAATAAGTAAACATAATTAAACAAACAAAATAACTGCAAAACATAAATTCAAGTGAAATTGTGAGGGAACAAAGGAATATTATTAATCCAATGTAAATCCAGCTCATAGCCCAATGGGCCACCTGGTAAATCTACCTTCCCAACTACACCAGAGAATCATACACCCTTCTTATCTCATTTCCACAAGTAAGTTAGAGAAAACACGTTGATACATCTTTTCTTGAAACTGTGTTCTAATCAAAGGTGATAGCTATTCTCCGGAGATGGCCCCTAATGCATTCTACTTTCCAGTACTTACACCCTGCAATGTAACTTGTTTTCATTAATAGAATGCAGTAGAAGGCCTGGAAGCTAGAGCAAACTTACCTATTAGATTCAGTAGTGCTTAGGGCCCACAATACTTTTATGGCCCACAGCAATGTTTCAACTCCTTTTCAATCCAAAACAAAAACAAACCAAAAAAATGAACTTTTATGTCAAAGAAAAAATTAGACATAATATTAATATATTCATCTTTATATCAATGCTTCATAACATATCATTTTTATCTTTTATGAAGGAGAAAGGCAAAAGTGTCAGGACACATGAAAGTCATAACAAGCTTTCCTTTTGTGCTCCTGAGAGTTCTGAGCTACCACATAAAATTCTAGCTACCCTGCAAAAGAACCTCATGGAAATGCTCTGAGACTCTGTGGAAAGACCTGGCTGTTCCAGCATCTCAGCTAAGCCTCCAGGTAACTCCAATGCCAGCCACCATGTGACTGCAGTCTCATGGCAGACTCTAATTGAGACCTTTGGAGGAACTGTCCTGCTGAGCCCAGTTAAGCCACAGCATCATTAGAGATAATAAATTGTTATTATCTAAGTTTTCAAGCAGTTTTTATACTGCTTTAGACCATAACTTCTCTAGATTTTTAAGGACATACAAAGGCTATCTATAGAAAGGTTCTAAAAGGATTTTTCAAATTTTCAAAATAGAAAACTATTGCACATTAGAAGTCTCTTGAGTTTTTAAAAGTATCTTATTTTAAAAGGTATGTATACATTTTAAAAGACTAAAACCAAACATAATTTTAACTATATTATTTTAAGTAATATTAAACTTATTACCTTTAAACTAACAAAATGTTTTAAACTAACAAAATGTTACAAGGTTTAGCTTACATTACATTTAAAGAGTAAACATTTTAACCAAGTAAAAATATTTAAAATTTGTTTAACAGCCTACTGCTACTAATAATATTCTCCATAATTTGAATAGAATGACGATTACTATCCCTGTAAATGACTTATACTCAAAAAAATATTGCACGCCTTTTCTGTAAAACATCTCAGAGCCCTTTTTCTGTGGAGTATCTCCCAAGGACTAGAGTTCCAAAGACCATACTTTGCGAAATGCTTGCCGATAGTCAAATGGTCAAGATGTTCCGAATGGGCCTTTTGATGTCAAACGTGCCCAAGGACTGTCCCTTCATTGGAAGAAATAATTCTGGATGTAGAACTAAGTGCTCTCTAAAACTGGTTTTTCCTTCTTCTCATATTTACCTAAGATTTTTCTAGGAAAGCTTTTTCTTATTTTGTCTACAGGCCGGCATTGTTTAACAGTAGTCTTCAGAAGTCAGTGAGATGAGATAAAGAGTTGGGGATCAAAAAGAGAGAGGGAGAGTGTGAGACCTGCAGTGGCCCATGTGTGTACTTTGAGATTGGCAGAGAATTCAAGGTTGCCTTTAATAAAGTTATTTTCAAATGTGACGTCTTAGATTCTTTTTACTGTGCATGTATTGTTTTCCTTAATGTTTAAAGGCAGATACATCTTTAAATCCCCTCTAATGATATAACAGTTCTCTGAAGAGTGTGGTATGCAGTCTTATATTAATAAAAGTTATAAAATCTTCACTCACTACCATTTAAACCCTTCCAGACTTTTCAGACTACAAGGACTCTTGGAATTACTATTTCCCTAAGTTTACTACAGTGCTTGAAATTCTAACATCGTCAAGTGCCCCCCTGTTTCTGTTTTGTTTAAAAAAAATTTTATTTCTTTATTGATTTTAAAGAGAGAAAAGAAGGGAGAGGGAGAGAGAGAGAGAAACATCGATGAGAGAGAACATTGATTGGCCGCCTCCTGCATGCCCCCCACTGGGTATCAGGCCTGCAACCTGGGCATGTGCCCTGACCTGAATCGAACAAGCAACCTCTTGGTGCACGGGTTGACACTCAACCACTGAGCCACACTGGCTGGGCTGCCCCTCTATTTTTAATGTCTAGAATTTGATGTCTATTTGCTGATTATATATACCTTATGATTTTATAATATTCCATCATGATATTTCTTTGTCACTGAATAAAAATATAAACAGAACTGTGTCCGGCCTCTTAACATTTTAGTTGAGATTTAGTTGAGAACTGCAAAAAATACTCAAAAGAATCCTTTTATTTATTTATGTTTAATCCTCACCTGAGGATATTTTTCTATTTATTGTCAGATAAAGTGGGAGAGAGAGAGAGAGAGAGAGAAACATCCATGTAAGATGGACATATCGACTGGTTGCCTCCCACATGACCTGGACCAGGGTCAGGGACAAACTGAAACCGAGGTACATGCCCTTGATCAGAATTGAACCCACGACTCTTTGGTCCACGGGCTGACGCTCTAACTGCTGAGCCAAACCAGCCAGGGCAAGAATCCTTTCATATAAAATAAAGTTACTTTCTAACTTTTCTCCAATTTCAAACATAAATTATAATCCACAGGAGAATACCCTCTTTTCAAATAGCATGGCTCTTCTGTATACTACTATATTCTGTGCATTATTGTATATGCACACAAATATGTAATATATATTATACATGATAAGAATATACATATTATTTTTATATGGTAACCTGCCCATGAACAAAGAAAACTATTTGATTCAGAATTTTTAAATCAATTTTGTTTTTATTTTTGTTTCTCTTTTCTGATGAGTTTTTAGTGATATCTATGGCAGCACAACTGTGCAAAGAAATGCATTGATAGAAGATGAAAAAAAAAAAAAGATCTGACCACAATTCAAAGGAGTGAGATTTTACGCAAATAAACTAGTTATCCTACTACCACAGTTATTTCCATGGTGTCAAATTGGTGTTTGTCCCCGGGTGGTGTTGGTAAAAATACAAATAAAAAGACAAATATAAGAGCCACTTCTTTTTGTATGACCAACTTGTAATTACAAGGCATGTAATTTTCCTTCAAGGCACTCACCACATTTGTAATTATATATTTATTTCTGTATATATTTGTATAACATTTGTCTTCCCCCTGAGAAGATAAATACCATGAGAAATGGGAGCTCACCTGTCCCATTCATATGGACCATAGTAAGCACTCAATATAAAAATTTTAAGTGAATGGCAAGAGACTCATTGAGTTGAAAGATAAAAAAGAGAAACCAAAAAGAATTCTGGCTCATTGGGAAGATAGTTGATTCCAAGTATGGGGCAGATAAAGTGATGGATGTGCCTTTGGAACGTGGCCAAACAACATGAAAGGACTCCTTCTGGTTACATCGAAGAGTACATTTTTAAAAATATGTTTTTATTGGCTTTTTTAAAGAGAGAGGAAGAGAAACATCAATGAAGGTGGAACATCAATTGGCTGCCTCCTGCACTCCCCCTACTGGGGATGGAGCCCTGGGCATATGCCCTGACCGGGAATCAAATCAGCGACCTCTTGGTGCATGGGACCATGCTCAACCAACTGAGCCACATCAGCCAGGGCACAGAGTACACTTTTTACAAAGAAATATAGTAATTAATTATAAAATGATAGGTTAGAAAATTATTATTTTCAACCACCAATGTTATAATATATTCCAGTAAGGATCATCAGTGGATACCAAAATCATTAAGTGAAAGTTGGGGAACAGGATAGTCAAACAGTCTCAAAGTATCACCCCATGGATTACCAATTATTTACAAAGGGACAAAATGAATATTTACAGTGAAAAATCTTGCAGACACCACTTTAAACAAGGAATCAAACTTAACCAATAATGGGACACACTGACATCATGTATTTCTTGCTGTGTCAAAATGAAAGACAATGATTTAGTATTCTCATAAAAAATATTTAATCTGTATCTAATCATGAGGGAAATTTCAGACAAATCCTAAATTCTACAATATTCTACCGCCCACAAAATAACTGACCTGAATACTTCAAAAGTGTTAATGTCATGAAAGTCCAAAACAAACTAAAAAAGCATATGAATTAGCCCTAGTTGGTTGGAGTGTCATCCCATACACCAAAAAGGCTTGATCTCTGGTCTGGGTGCATATGGGAGGCAAACGATGCATCTCTCTGTCTGTCTGTCTGTCTGTCTCTCTCTCTCTCCTTCTCCACCCCCCTCAAATCAATAAACATATTCTTGAGTGAGAATTAAAAAAAAAAAGCAGAGGAATTATTCTAAGCTAAAGGAGACTAAACAGACATGACAACTAAATCAATTGAGGGGAAAACCAGCTATAAAAGGCATTACTGGGATAACTGGAAGAGATTTGAATATGGATTGTATATTAACACAATAACAGTATATTAACGTTAAATTTCCTGAGTGAGATTAACAGTATTATACCATATGGGAGAGTGTCCTTGTTCTCAAGAGATATGTGCTCAAAGAATTCAGAGGTGATAGTCACAATGCCTACAATTTACTTTCAGAATTTCAGGGGGAAAAAAATAGAAAAACAGATAGAGTGAAATATTAATCATTGGTGAATGTAGGCGAAGGGTATATAGGTGTTCAATGTTCTCTTTCAACTTTTCTGTAGGTTTTTCTTTTAAATAAAGCTTCAGAAAAAATTTTAAACAGCAATACCTTTAAAATAAAAAAATTATAGCCCCAACCGGTGGCTGAGTTGGTTGGAGCATCATCCCATGCACCAAAAACGTTGTGGGTCCGATCCCAGGTCAGGGCTCTTATAGGAAGCAAATGATCAATGTTTCTCTCTCAAAATGAATAAATAAATAAATAAATAAATAAATAAATAAATAAATAAATAAATAAATAACATATCTTCAGGTGAGGATTAAAATAAATAAGTAAATAAATAATTTTAAATCTACAAATCTGAGAAAACAGTTTTGAAGGAATTTAGTAGAGAGAAATAATTCTGAAGGAAAGATGAATTCAAGATATGTTGAATGTGAGAGGAGAGGCAGGTAGGAATGCACACTAGACCGATTTATTCCACAGATATTCCTCTACTATGAGCTAGGTATTTTGGTCAGCCTTGGGAATATGTTGATGAAAACAAAACAAACAGCAGCAACAACACAATCTGAGATCACTGTTCTCATCTATTTCATGCTGATGGGGAAAACAGATACTACAAAGTAAACTAAAAATGAGCAAGCTGCTCTGGTTGGTTTGGCTCAGCAGTTAGAGAGAGCATCGACCCACAGACCAGAGTCCCTAGTTTGGTTCCTGCTAAGGGCATGTACCTTGGTTGCAGTTTGTCCCTGGCCCCGGTTGGGGTTGCATGGGTGGCAGCCACTCGATGTGTCACTCTCACATCGATATTTCTCTCTCTCGCTTCCCCACTCTCTCCCTTCTGCTCTATCTGAAGATAAATGCAAAAATATCCTCCAGTGAGGATTAAAAAAAAGAAGAAAATTTAAAATGAGCAAGCCTACATTTCCAAATTGTTAAAAATGTAGCACTTAACAAAAAATAACTAGTGTTGTACAAAACTGGAGCTTGAGTGAGGGGGCCAAGATAGAGAGAAATATATACTTATTTGTAATTTTTAATTAGATTTCTTAAAATATACAATTCAAAAGCTTTAAAAAGTTTTGCCATTTGAAAATGTAATATATTTTAAAATTACTTTTATTTTCAAAAACGTTGCTGCTTAGCAATATTTTTTTCTTTTACAAATGAAAATGTAAAATTATGGTTCTATTCAACACAAAGGAACTGTAGCATGTTAATTTTACATGACAAACTTGTAATTACATGGTATGTAATTTTCTTTCAAGGCACTTACCACAGTTTGTAATCATATACTTATTTGTGTGTATTTCTTAGCTTCTCTAGGCCTGAGTGTCTTCTGTAAAAATGAATGTGTTGAACTAAATCTGATTTCCCTTCTAGTTTTCAGAAAGTATATTCTGATGACAATATATCTGCTCAGAGGAAATAAAAAAGATACCAATTTCTCTAATGAGAAGAGCCCACCTCCATTCTTACCTGGTGACAATCTGAAATATAATTGTGAGAGCCAGACCAGTAATGGACAGGGCACATCCAAAGGTGGATAATTCATCTAGTGGTTTAGGATAGTTATAGTTCTTTTTGAGACTCTGGAAAAGAAAACAAGACTAATATTTTTAAATAACCATTAATGAAATGTCTATGAAAGTCAACATCGTAAAAAGTTTCATTGGTCAAAACAACCAGGAAGATGCCACATAGGTCTCCCTTTTTATAACTGTTGATATATTTTAAAACTAAATAAATTAACCCCTTAATGCTAAGCACTTTACACAAATTAGGGTTTGACAAGTTATTGAACTAATTTAGTTAGGAGAAACATATACACTGTTCCTCAATGTCTAAAATCATAGTTTTTTGGATTAGATCTAAATTGGCTAGAGTTGCTTCATTTATTCATTACAATAATTTTATGTGTAACTATAATCCAAGGGGAAATCAACATATCTAAGCTGATGACCCAAAAATAAAGATGGAGAAATATTTTTAAGAATATGGAAAGATGTTCATATGATCCTATCATTTCTTAAAGGTCTAATTTTTGTATAATATATCTCTCTATCTATCCCAGTATTTTAGTATATATCATGTATATTTCATGTAAGTATATATTGTTAGAAACCTAGAGACATAAAAATAGTGGTCACTGGGTGGGTAGAATATATATAATTATTCTTGCTTGTCTGTACTTTCTAATTTTTTTCCATTGTTACTATTTAAAAAGCCATACATGTTTATCTATAAAACATGAGAGTAATATGGAAACATAATTCTAAAAGCATGTTTCTCTTTATGGTCAGCTACCCCATATCATACCCTAGCTCTCAAAATCCTATCTCTTCTCCAGTGGGGCCTTTTTTTTTTATGTGCTTACAAATATTATCTATATCTTTTGCACAAATATATAAGGATTTTTAACATACTAAAATTATTCTCAAGTTGCTATTTAAGATCTCATTAAATTTTGCCATATCAGTATATTTGTGTTCAGTAGATAAACTTTCATGCTTCATGCAATGAGAATGTATTTCTTTTGTAGAAATAAAAATAAAATAAACTTTATTTTAAATAATAATAAAACAAAAATTTTATGATAACCAAGAATCATAGAATACATAGATCTTCAGATCATAGAAATAATCAATTCACTCAGAGACTACCTGCTCTTGTTTTGTAAATGTGAGTAGGTAGTCATTGAGAGAGATTCAGATATTAGTGATTAGAAATAGCTAAAAGCCTGACCTCAAAAAAAGGAAAAAATAACTATGACAATGTCCTCTGTATCATTTACTATGCATAGCAGTCTGAGCTATCAGAAAAGTTAACATTTATTTTATCTTTATTATGTTCTGATTGAGAAAGCAGATCTCTGTATAAAACAAGTTAGAAAGTAATCAAAATCAACTAAGATTTTACCATTAAAATAAGAAAACTATAGTTATCTCAAAAAGATTGTAAAAGCAATGATCTCTAATTTGATGGGCTCTATTATCTCATTATGTTCTACCTCCACTGGCTTCCCAAATATGGCTACAAGGGAAAGAAAACATCCAATTCTGTTTGGGAGATTCACAGTATTAATAGCCCTGCAATAAGGGCAAGCCACCTATTTCATGGCATATGAAAACATTTCATTGAGTAGATACACTAACATTTTGGTGTCACCAAAATTATAAGTTTCTGGAAATAGAATAAATAGAAGCTCCTCTTCTTAAAAGGGTCAGCCCATGAACTTTCAGAGGTGAAATAAAGCTGTACACCAGAGTCAAGTATTATCAGTTACTTGCGCAAGGTAGCTTTGGAGTTAAAAGATTTAAGAATACATAAAGGAACTACGGGACAAATTGAATGAATCCAAGAGATTTTCTTCTTATATCTTCTAGCATAAACTTAGTAACTTAGATGATCACATGGAAAAAGCTTGGGGTAACTGATTTAAACTGCCCACCTATACTCACGTGTGTATTGAACCTGTCCCCAACACACAGCTCTACAGCCTTACCTCTGGCCATAACAACTTCATGCTTTAGAACATGCAAGTTATTTTAATGCAATCTGTCAGCAACTCTTTTGTACACGGGCTCCCTTCTCATGAATAAATGCACATTGCTGAACTCATCTATCCTGAGACCTATTTGAAAAAAAAAAACCAACACAAAAACCCTCTCTTTTACTTGCCTTGACCACCACTTTCCTTTTACTTTTATAATTCCATTCCTTTTTTTCTATTTAATCTGATTTGAGTAAACTAAACCCCAAACTTATCTCCGATTAGCACATACCAGAATTGTGTGTAAGGAAAATTCTTGTCTGAAAAGAAATTAGTGGGTACATCCTCACCATTAACACAGCAAAGTTGGTAGTGTGGTTGCAGTGGCAGTGCAGGAATCCATTATTTTCTCCAACTTTGGAACAGCCATTTGTATCCCAATCGTTCTTTGAAAAATTCCAATAGACACAGGCAAAGGAATTTAACTCATATTCTTTTTTGTCGTACTGTGAATTGATAAGACAATTGCAACTGTTTTTTTTAATGCTTAGTTGGGTAGAAAAAAATAAAAAAGGGTAGATAACCATATGAGAAATCAGTTAGATATGTAGGAAGCCTAACATCTTCATGACAGATTGAGCGGGAGGAGGATATAGATTTCAAATTAGCCCATTTTGCATTTAGCTAGTCTGTCAAAAAAAATATGAGCGGTGGAAGATTTAAATGAACACTTTCAAAAAAACTTTCAGAGAGATTTTTCTATAGCTTTTGCCCAAACTGTTCCTGCTTTTGTACTAAAAATATTGACTCAATTTGGTTTTCTTTTATCCCCACCAAAGACATTTTTGCATGTCTTCAGATAGAGTGGGAGGGAGAGAGGGAGGAAAAGAGAGAGAGAAACATCCACGTGAGAGAGACACATTGAGCGGTCTCCACCCACACAACCCCAACCGGGGCAGGGAACAAACTGCAACCGAGGTACATGCCCTTAGTGGGAACCGAACCCAGGATTCTCTGGTCTGTGGGCCGACACTCTAACCACTGAGTCTTAATTTTTAACTTGTTAGTGGGAAAACTCACCTGTGGATGAAAGACCATTTTAACAGAAGCACTCTGATCATTTCCAGCGCTATTAGTTTTGCCTGAGATAATTTTTTGAGAAATACTTGATGTAGGTGTAAAAAGTTTTGATTGGAAAAGCTTGCTGTTTTGATACACTACAAAGCCACATGACCTGGCATTAACTGTGAGGTGAAAAAAAGACATGAAAATCAATAAGTGAACCATAGAACAAACAAGAAAGTCTCATGTCATTGTTAAACAGAGTAGTTGCTTAATATTTGAGTAAAATACAGTAAAAATGATTTGCTGGCTGAAACTTCACTTAATAAAACAACATAATTAACATATATAATCTGTGGTTGGCTATTCCACCCACATTAAATTTTTTGCCTGAGGTTCGGAACCCTTATCTTCTCAGTAGGAACATTAATTCCTGCCTAATCCACCTCAAGGAGGTATTGCAAAGTACTCATTTATAAAGTAAACATCTTGCTTTCTATACAGCAAGACAGAGTGAACATGACTGCAGGCAGGTCAAGCCTATTTGCTTGCCCCACTGATAAGACATGGGACAAGAAAGAGCAAATGGTGAATATAAAAACAGCTGTGCCTACCGAAGTGTTCTGTGAGGTCTGTCTTTTTCAAAGGGACTGAGCAAGGACCATTCTATTAAGTCACAGAGCCAGGAGCTCAAGTTGTTCATATCAGACTCTTTCAATGGCCGCAGATTCTTTCCATCATCTCTTTTTTCTTCGTTAAATGATCATATACTTGGTAAATATTGATCTTTTATTCCCTTCTTTTATTTTTTTTCCATCACCATTTATCTCCCCTATACCCTCTCCTACCTCCACCCATCCCTGACCCCCTGCAGTCACCACATTGTTGTCTGTGTCAATGAGTTCTTACTCTTTTTTCCCCTTTTTTGCTCAATTCATCCCCACTTCACCCAGTCCCCTCTCCCAACAGCTGTTAGCCTGCTCCCTATGAGTCTGTCTCTATTTTGCCTGTTAGTTCATTTTGTTCATTAGATTCCACATATAAGTGAGATCATATGGTATTTAGCTTTCTCTGACTGGTTTATTTCACTTAGCATGATACACTAAATCACTCCCTCACAGGTTCCCAAACTCACTGAGACAGCCAAAAAGGGGAAGCAAAGAAACAAATCCAAAATGAAAGAGACAGATAATTCTGCAAAAGAAACAAGACATAGAATTAAGCACAATATCAGAGGGAGAGTTCAGAGTAATAATCATGAGGTACCTCAAAAGCATGAGTAAAAATAATATAGAAACACTGAAAACCAACCAAGTGGAAATGAAGAATGACATAGCAGAAATAAAGAACACATTGGAAGAAATAACCAGCAGAGTAGAGGAAGCTGAGGACCAGATCAGTGAATTAGAGACAGGGTAGAAGAAATCACTCAAACAAAAAACCAAAAAGAAAAAACATTTAAAAAACAGGAAGACAGCCTAAGAGAACTGTGAGACAACATAAAACATAATAATATTTGCATCATAGGAGTCCCAGAAGAAGAATAAAATGAATAAGGGTTAGAGAATATATTTGAAGAAATAGTGACAGAAAACTTCCCTCGCTTGGTGTAGGAAAAAGGCATACAAGTCTGAGAAGCACAGAGAGCCCCAAGTAAGAAGAACCCAAACAGGCCCATACCAAGACACATAATAATTAAAACGCCAAAAATTAAAGACAAAGAGAATCCTAAAGGCAGCAAGAAATAAGCAACAGGTAACCTACAAAGGAACCCCCATAAGGCCCTCAGCTGACTTCTTGACAGGAACACTACAGGCCAGAAGGGAATGGCATGAAGTAATCAAGGTCATGAAAAACAAGGATCTGAATCCAAGACTACTCTATCCAGCAAGGCTATCATTCAAAATAGAAGGTGAAATAAACAGTTTCCCAAGAGAATATATTGGCACCAAACCAGCATTCCAAGAAATGTTAAAAGGACTGCTATAATAAGTAGAAGAACTAGGAAGAGAAATATAACCATAATAAACAAAAATAGCAATGAAAAAGTACATATCAATAATAACATTAAACATAAATGGATTAAATCCCCAGATCAAAAGACACAGAGTAGCTGAAAGGATAAGAAAGCATGACTTATTCATATATATATGTTTACAAAAGACCCACGTCACAACAAAAGACTCACATAGGTTGAAATTGGAGGGATAGGAAAAAAATTTTTTCAAGCAAAAAAAAAGGAAAATAAAGCTAGGGTAACAATACTCATATCCAACAAAATAGACTTCAAAATGAAGGCAATAGCCTGGCCAGTGTGGCTCAGTGGTTGAGCATTGACCCAAAATGAAGGCAATAGCTAGAGACAAAGAAGTTCACTACATAATATTAAAAGGATCTATCCAACAGGCGTATATAATCTTGGTAGCCCTGGCCGGTTTGGCTCAGCGGTTAGAGCATCGGCCCGTGGACCAGAGGGTCATGGATTCGGTTCCCGGTAAGGGTGCATACCTTGGTTGCAGTTTGTCCCTGGCCCCAGTTGGGGTCGTGTAGGTGCCAACCACTTGATATGTCTCTCCCACTTCAATGTTTCTCTCTCTCTCCCTTCCTCTCTCCCTCCCGCTCTATCTGAAGATAAATTTAAAAATATATATGTATAATCTTCGTAAACATGTATGCACCTAACATAGGAGCACCAAAATACATTAAAAAGCTTCTAGAGGACTTCAAAGGAGAAATGAACAGCAATACAATCATAAGAGGAGACTTCAACACCCCACTGACATCACTCGATAGATCCTCTAGACAAAAAATTAACAAGGAAACAGAGACTCTAAATGAAGCACTAGATCAAATGGATTTAATAGATATCTACAGAGAACTACACTCCGAATCTGCAGAATTTATATTCTTCTTAAGTGCACATGGAACATTCTCAAAAATAGACCACATGTTAGGACACAAACTAAGTCTCTACAAGTTCAAGAAGATTGAAATTATTTCAAGCATCTTCTCAGATCACAATGGCATGAAACTAGAAATCAATTACAATAAAAACACTCAAAGAATTTAAACACATGGAGGCTAAATAGCATGTTCTTAAACAATGAATGGGTTACCAAGTAGATCAAGGAAGAAATTAAAAACTTCCTAGAAACCAATGAAAATGAACACACAACACAAAATCTATGGAACACAGCAAAACAGTTCTGAGAGGGAAGTTCATAGCACCACAGGCCTACCTCAGGAAACAAGAAAATTTTCTAATTGACTTTCTAACCCTACAACTTAAGATTTAGAAAGTAAACTAAAAGAAAAACCCAGAGCAAGTAGAAGGAAAGAAATAGCAAAGGTCAGAGCAGAAATAAATGACATAGAAACTAAAAAAACAATTCAAAAGATCAATGAAACAAAGAGCTGGTTCTTTGAAAAGATAAGCAAGATTGATGGACCCTTAGCCAGACTCATTAGGAAACAAAAAGAGAGGACCTTAGAAAACAAAATCAGAAATGAGAGAAGAAGTAACAACTGACACACAGAAATACAAATGATCATTAAAAAAATTCTATGAACAAATATACACCAACAAATTAGACAATCTAGGTGAAATGGACAAATTTCTAGAAACACACAATATTTCAAAACTGAACCAGGAAGAGATAGAAAAGTTGAACAGACCAATAACAACTAAGAAAATTGAAAATGTAATCAAGAAACTCCCAGCAGACTTCAGGTTAGGATGGCAGTGTAGGTAAACATGGTATCACCTCCTCTCACAATCACATCAAAATTACAACTAAACTACAGAACAACCATCATTCAGAACTGCCTAAAATCAAGCTGAATGAAAGTCCTACAACCCAGACACATGGAAGTAGGGCACAGACTAACATCCCTCAGAAGAGGGGATGGGGGGTGGGGGGTGGGAAGAGATAAACCACAGAACTTATATGCATGTATGCATGACCAATGGACATGGACAACTAAGCCGGGGACAGGGTGGAGGGGGGGTAGGGTGGGGGGTGCCAATGGGGTAAAAAGGTAAAATATCTGTAACAAAAAAATAAATAAAAATTCATTAAAAAAAGAAGAAAGTCCTACAACTACGAAATCAAAGAAGACGCCACATCGAGACTGGTAGGAGGGGCAGAGGTGAGTACAGGCTGGTCCCACAACCACGTGTGGTGGATAAAAATCAGAAGGGATACCTCAGCTTTGAAGGTTCTCCTTGAGGAGTAAGGGGTCCTCATCCCACACCAGGCACCCAGCTCAGGGTTCTAGTGCCAGGAAGAAAGTTCCCATCACTTCTGGTTGTAAAAGCAACAGGACTGAGGCTGAGGCTACTGGAGCCCCAGGCAGTTCCTCTTAAAGGACTTACAGGGACATGCACCCTCCAGGCTCTAGCACAGGGGAGGCACCAGAGACATATGTGGAAGAACTTAGTTATTTGGCATTGGAGCGAGACCTGGATGGGCAGCTTTCTCCTGGACAGACTTGCTGTCAGAGGCTATTGTTCCTTTGGCAAGCCATTCCTTAACAAGGCCAGTAGATTGGCATCATATATGGTATTCCAGCAACCTGGTTTACACAGTTTGCCCCACCCTGATGATTCCCTGAGTCCCTGCCCCACTCAACTTTCAGGCCACACAAGCTGCTTTCAGTGGCTTTACCACAGGATTGGCCTGTCTTGGATCCTCCTTCAGAGTTTCCTAAAATCTCTCACATAAGCAACATTGGTCTCAGAGATACCCATACCTCTTATTAAGTGGCCCCAGGCCTGGCACTAGAAGCAGCCAGCTTTGGTTCACAGCTCGACTTTGCTTGGGTACTTACAAGCCCAGCACAAGAAGCAGCCATCTTCAGACCACTTTGTAGCTTATGCCTGGTGGCCCCAATGAGAACACAGGCAATGGCTGACCTTGCCCCAGAGCCAGCACAGCCAGTGTACAACTTTGAACCACATCAAAGCACCACCACCCAACCACCTTGAACAGTGACACAATCAAGGAGTAGACTTAGTGAGTGCAAGAGCCCTGCTGAAGTAAGTCTTGCTCTGTGTGGTGGGTTCCTACACAGCTGATCATCTAAGGTAGTCAGAAGCCAGTGGTCAGTGGGCACAGACAGTTCTTGCAGCTGATCAGCCTGAGTAAATCCCTTCCACTGATGTGCCAACAGCAATCAAGAC